CTTTCAAAACATAATAGATAAAGCATAAACTGTTTAATTTTGTTTTATATTTTTAATGTGGTTTAAATTTAAAATATGGTGACTTTTATGACTCAAGCACAGATATAATTTGTCAGGTAACAAAAGTATTATTAGTAGTAGTAGTTCAGGTGGGGAGCTGCATCAGCATGCGTAGGCTGCAATGGAACAAGTAATAGGCTTATTCTATGCTTAAAAAAGAAGAAAGAAAACAACGTTTCGGCCGTGGAGCCTTCTTCAGGTGTGAGCGAGACAGGGCAGTAGGCAAAGGTAAAGTAGCGGGAGAACAAAGGTTGGGAGGGAGGAGGAGTGAGAGGCGGGAGCAGGGGACAGAGAGGCCAATCAAGAGATGTGAAGTCAGAATAGGTGTAGAGAGGTGTGAATTGAAACTTACAATGTATAGAGAGAATTTAGAAGAAAAGTAGTTTGTTGTTAAGAGAAGGGGGAAGGTGTGATCCTAGCTGCAGCTTTTCTCCCAACTTTTGTTCTCCTGCTACATTACCTTTGCCTACTGCCCTGTCTTTCTCCCACCTGAAGAAGGCTTCACGGCAGAAATGTTGTTTCTTTCTTCTTTTTTTCAGCTTGGAATAAATCTATTACTTGTTCCTTATTAGTAGTAGTATTCATAGAATCACATCACAAATCAAAGTGGTCATGTTGTCTGTGTGAGTACACAGAGGAGGATCTGTGTCAGGTTCTGGCACAGAAGATTAGTGAAGTAAGACTGGAAACAGACTTCCTGTGATCAATATTGTGTTGTTTGACCCTGAGTAACAGAAGTGGACTTTACCTTGCTGTGTTGTGTAGTGTCATGCTGTACTGCGTTCAGTTGTCTTATGTAAAAGATGTGTATTAGAAGAAAAGAAAAAAAAACATGTGGAAAGCTACTCACCTCTAACACTCAGGTCAATAAGAGCTATTTCAAAATGCTGAGGAGATCGAACCAGGCAGTTATAGAGCCCATGATCAGAGCGCCTCACATCTCTCAGTCTCAGAGACACGTTGCCTTTGAAGAGCTCCTCTGGGAAAAGTTCAGCTCTTCCCCTGTATGATGGGATCTGATCCTCAAATATATACCCGTGGTTCTGGTACAAACACACAGGAGCTGTGTAATCATTTCTAAACCACCCGATCTGTAGATCCTCAGCACTGATGCCCGGTGAGAGGTAACAGGGCAGAACAGTGTCTTCACCAGGGAAAACAAACACAGGAACAGCTGGACCAACAACCTGAAACCACTCTGAAAGAGAAAGAGCACAGTTTGCTGGAGTCTTTCTTTCACCACAGCTTAAGAAGTGGAAAAAAAAACTCTGATAGCAACTGGCAATATACAGCATAATCTGAATATTCCCATTCAAACCACAAGTGATTATTGAGCATTTAAGATCAGTGAGAGTCTCATCTCACCATCTTGTGGTTCAAATCTTACCTCACTGATCTCTGTCACTTTGTCTCTCTTGGCAGATTTAGTTCTGAAATTGGACTCATTGGACTTAATCTGGTGTTCCTCAAGGCTTGATAGCGGCCCCTACATTTCAGTATTTATGTTTCCACTAGGTCGGCTTTTAAGATCACATGGCCTCAATTATCATTTCTATGCTGATGATACTCAAATCTATATCAATACCAAACCTCTCACTGATGTGGCTGTTTCTGTTCTCTTTAATTGAATCTCTGACATCTATGTCTACATCTATGGATGAGAGCGCCTTCTCCTGTTATGTCTCAAAGTACTGCAACTCTGTCCACAAAAATATCAGTCACCTTCCCTAAACTCCTTAAAAATCCTGACTAAAAACCTTCTTCTAATATGTTTATTGCAAAGAGAAGAAAGGAAACAACATTTTGGCTGTAGAGCCTCCTTCGCACCCTATTATTATTAGCTGCTCTACTTCTTCACAGCAGTTTTTCCAAATGCCTCTCAGGACACTCAGATCCTTAGCTTCACTCCCTGATAGAGCTGTGACTGTGTTCACTGAGGGTCTGTTACTCTGCAGTGACAGTAGGGGGTTAAATCAGGCTCTTTGTCTCTCTGCTCTCTGGTCCTTTATAAACTGAAACACTTCACATACAGAACCCAGATTAAACTGCTGATTAATACTGTACTTCTAATACAATCTTTTAACAAATGGGGGACAGAAGGACATGATTCTTGATTTTTTCTTTTAGACTCACAGTACGTAATGATGACAAACAACAGGAAAGATCCAGCAAGGCTGTTTCTACAAGTGTCAGTTGTAACATCTCTCCATCTTCCACAGTCACACTTCTGACATGTTGTAATGTCCTGTGTGGTTTGGGTCACTCCAGGACTCCCTCTGTAAGTGACGGGTACCTGATGTAGCCAACATTAACTCCCACACTGAGGCACAGACTGGCAGAGAGGGTGAAGCAGCTCTCGGGTCAGCAGTGTGACTTGGCCACGATTGACAGTGTCTCTGAGTCTGTCAGCTCATCCCACAGGTGCTCAGGGGTCTGATGACACAGTGACTCAGTGGAGGACATTGATCCCAGACTGACACACAACATAATGAGCAGAAGAAAGGCTGATGACAAGAACAGACTGTTCAGCCCATCAGTGCTCATCACCGTCCTGCAATGTCACAGCACCAGGCTCAGATGTGAAAGTTCAGTGTCTGTGTCTCCACTGTGTGTCCTGGTGATGTGTTAATACCTCCCAGTGCTGCTGCTGACACAGTCAGTCTGGTCACATGGGGCTCCAGTGCAGCTGACTGACCTACTGTAGTTTAGGGTTCCTGAGATCGAGATGTGGACATTGGCCAGCAGCCATATCACCCTGCAACTCACAACTGCACAGACGGGACAAGTACAGCAACAGCCAAGCAACCCTCATCTCAGCACTGGCGGTCCAATGAATGTATGAGCCTGGTCAGTACCTGGATAGGAGCCCTCCTGGGAAAAACTAAGATGCTGCTTTAATTAAGATCACTTTATTGGCCATATAATCCCCAATTGATTTTAAAATTCTGATCTCCTCCTCACTGAGAGCTGCTGTGTATGAATGTACTGGCAGGTCATCCATGTGGGACGACACACTGGTGGTGGTAGATTCCACATTATCTGTAAACTGCTTTGAGTGGAGTGTCCAGAAAAGTGCTTTATAAGTGTAATCAATTATTAATAATAACTACATGATTGGGGTTTGTATGATATAAGTTTTGTGAAAAGTTCTTAATGAATCTTAATTATATAAAATGTGTATTTAAAATATTTATTCGTAATTTTGTATGTATCTTGTTTGAAAAAAGAGGTTGTCAATGCACATTCAGGTGGGATGGTAACTTTCACCCCAGTCTTAAAGCATAATCAGTCTTGATGTCATTTCTTGCATGTTTCTTCTCCAAACAAAATTCTTCCAACCAGCTTTAGAATTATTCAATTCAGATTATTTTTATCTCTTTGCTTCTGTGACAGTGGGTAAGGTTTCCCCACTGTACACCACTAGATGGCTGTCCAGTTATACACATGAGAATCAACCTATATCAGCAACACCTCGGTTCTCATTAAGAGGCACTGTATATCATTCTTATGCAGGTCCCCCAGTATTCGCATCAGAATCACGGCACCAGTCCTTAGACTGCGGATATCCGTCTTTCTTCTCTCTAAAGAGAAATTTCAACCCTTGTGTAAAAATAGTACATTTCTTAATATTGTCTGGCTGGCTATAAAACCGCTACCTCTGTCTGCTCTCTACCTCAGCAAAAGGTACTGATCCTCCGCCAGTGAAACAGGTAGCTCCAAAACCCCCACTGTTACACTTCACAGGAAGCTGATTACATGCAGTTGTATCTTTCTGCTCACTCATCCAACTAAGATTTGCACGAGAGAATTCTTGTTTTGGGTCAACTTAATCATTCGCCCAGACTGAGCTTCAATCTGCACTGTCTAGATCTCATCTCATCAGATTACATCAGCACGTAATCCTCACTTCACATTTCAAAGTAAAACTTCAGATGTGGTATTTATTTTTTATACAATAGAATGGGCTGTCACTTTATAAGATGTGTTTCAATCACCTCCCACAGACCTTCAGATTTTACAAGCTCACGTCTGTCAACTTCTTCAGAGTCAAGGTCATTAGTTCTCAGGCCCTTTTCTTCTCTCACTCCTGCTGCAGTCTTCCCCCAATTCAAATTATGTCTAATTTTCATGGCTGCATCTCTTGGAGTCACATTTAAAATGATCGATCCTCATTGGTTCAGATAATCTGTTTCTGTGTCATCAATTAGGAAGACTGTCCTCCCTGCTGACTGTGACACACCTACGACAGGTGACCAGAGCAACAGTATCACAACAGAACCAGTACTGCTGTCCTGCAACAAGCCCTCATCAGCTTTCTGCCTCCTCTTCCACAGGCTTTCAGCACTTCAGGACTCATCTCAGAGCACTGTTGTGATCATTAGGTACTTCTTCCACAATTATAAATGTTATGATTTTTATGCTATGAGCTTCAGGAC